AGATGCTACTTTTTTATTTGCCCATTATGAATGTCATGACCATCATACTTTGGTTATTTCTTATCAGTATATATTTATAGATCCATTTACTGCATTTGTCTATTCTTTATTTGTGTGAATTAGAAACTCCGGGCAGTGTCAAGCATTCTCTGCAGATATTCCTATTCTAATATATCACGAAGAGTTCTATAGAGAAATTAAAAGATGTTACACTTGTGCATCCTAGATAATTGTCATGAGCTTGACTTATTGGAATATGGATTATGGAATTATTTCTTTTGCCCCTATTTTACCTGTAGGTTCAAATGATGGTCCACACAGGTTTAGTAGGCTCACTCTAGAAGAAAAAAGGACGCAGGTATTGATAAAAAAATGTATATCTGAATTGTTTTCCTTTATAATATTCATTGTGATAGACTGAAAGAACCTATACTTATTTGACAGATGACTTTGTGGTCTATGGCGAAGTCTCCCCTTATGTATGGAGGGGATATGCGGAAGATCGATTCCATCACATACCAACTTATAACAAATCCTACCCTGCTAGAGATTAATTCCTTCAGCACAAATAATATGGAGGCATGTGAGCCATCTAATTTTTTTTGGGAAAATAGGCACGTCAGGCATACAACTTATCACGAATCATTTGACTTTGCTGCAATGACAGTTTCCTTATATCACAAGCTCAAATAACTTGAAGCACGCTGGAGGGAAAAAGCAAATATCGAAGCAAGGAACAAAGAAAACATCATCGTACACACATTCATTAGGTTTGACTGGCTGTAGCGAATCAAAGGCAAGTGGTTGGTCTATTGAAAGTCATAGCCATAACCAATATCTTCAAACAATCTGCTGGAAAAAGGGTGCAGAAAACCAGCACCAACCTCCATTCTGCGTAAACAAGAGAGAACTTCAACTCAGATTGTAATCATGCTTTATCTTTCTCTTTTCCATTTTCCATTTATCCCACTTCCATTTAAACATTTGTATTGCTGTTAACAACAGAAATTGTTACATTGGCATTGATACAGAGAGGGTGAGACTATGTATCAACAGGATTACCGAGGGAAACACCAATTGGTTGCTACTGACAGAATGAAATTTTGCTTAGACGGTTCTCCAAAACGAAAGGTTACTTCTAAAGAGTCCAAGAGAGGAACATTTTCTCCATGCAGATGGGATTCTAATCAGGTATGTCATTCCATATTTCATGCGCAAGAGTTGCATGTCGCTCTTAAGCTTTAAATGGTTTAGGTGATGTAACCTTTACAACTTGCCTCTAGTAGATATACAAAATTAATCTGGTGGTGATCAACTTCGTTACGTGCATATTATTCTTTTTACCCCTTTTGAGTATCATATGTCTTAGCCAATTTGTATTTTAATGATTCCAATGAAAACTGATTCATCTGGTCTTAAACAGATCTGGGAACTGCACTCAAATGGGACCATGGTAAATAGTTACTCCGGTCTTTGTGCAACAGTAAAGTTTGTTGAAGGTGAAATTTTGTGGACACTCACCACTTTTTACAACTAATTTCATTTCCTCTCTTTCTTCCTTACCCCCCATTCCTTGTATTTGTCACTCATAAAGCAAATTGGTCACTCCTGCAGCTGAGGCTAATGCTGGTGGGATTCGCTCTTGGATTGCAACAGGAAGAAAAGGTTTCTACTTTCTAACAAACACTCTGGAGGATGTCAAGAATTTTCTTCTTTTCTGCAACTGCATAGCATCAAAATTGAAAAGAAAATGCTTATTTCTTTTAATCATGAGTACCATTTAAGAAGTTAAATAGCAAATTCTGATATAAACTGTTTTACAACTCTGAATGTTTTGTCTGTATTCAGGGGAAATCTACCTTGCTTTCTTCAATCTAAGCGATGAGAAAACCGAGATATATGCAAAGACATCATATCTGGGGAAGGTTCTTCCTGACAAAAGGATCGATTCATGCAAGGGGAAGGAAGTGTGGAGTGGAAAGAACGTAATCACAACACAGGGGACGATATCAATGGACGTGGAAATCCATGGATGTGCACTATTTGTTCTAAACTGCAACTAGTCCTTCTTCCAATTATTTAAAAACTGAAAAACAAAAAAGCACCTCATTGTTCAGTCTTTTTTCCACTCTATTTAGTTCTTGTTTCACTTGAAGTTAGGTAAAAGTTTGTGATAGACAAACTCTAAAACAACACATTTTAATTCTTTCTCTTGAAGCAAATTTTCTCTTTGTAACACTACTTAACTTTAGTTAATGAAAACAGCACTTTATGTGTTTAAGAACATTTTGCACGAACTAGCTCGAACAAAATAACAGAATTTCTCTAAATACTTGAGAAATTCTGAGATCTTTTTCCCTTTTTATTTGTTTTGTTTACTTACTATTTTACAATTAGTTTGGGGTTTTAATTTTTTCTTGGTTTTGTTTTTTAATTGTGTTAAGTTAAATAATATATACTTATTTTATTAAAAAAATAGCAGAAACATAAATATATATCAGTTTTGGCAACAAGGGAGTGCATAAACATAAATATATTCATCAACAACATAAGGTATAATATTAGTTATAATTGTTTATTAAGTGTATGGATATGAAGTAATAATATAATTTGTGTATATTTGTTATTTAAAGAAATCATATAAGCATTATTTGAATTCATGTTTGTTAATTTGAATTTTAAACATATGAATTAGTGTAAATAACAAATTAAGAAGATGTAATTGAAAGGCTAGTGTAAATAACAAATTAAGAAGATGCAATTGAATGGCTAGTGTAAATAACAAAAGGAATTAATTGATTTTTTATTGCAAATTGTGTTTTTAATAATTTTTTCTTCTAATTTAATTTTCACATTAATAAATTAGAACAATTGTAAATAAATTAGAACAATTGTAAAGAGAGTTAGGAATAGAGAAAATTGAACATTTTATATTGGTTTAGATACAAGAATCCTATGTCTAGTTGTTAATCTCAAATGAAGATTAACAATCCACATTGTTACAATCACAAAAAAATAACAAATTTAAGGTTCAGAACACTTTTCTTGTTACCTCAAGAGATGATACTCACTTCTCCTAAAAGTCACAAAGGATGAACACCTCCTTTAAATGTTTCACGAAGGATGACTACCTCCTTTGAATTTTCACAAAAGATGAACACCTCTTTTGAATCCTCACAAAGGATGACATGTTTCACTTAGCAACAACAACAACACTTAATCACAATTCTAGTAAAAGTTCTCGTTCTATGCCAACATTTAAGTTCTCAAAGTCTCAACACAAGGTTACTCAAACCCTATAACACACTTATCACAACATACAAGCAAACAAATAAGATTTTCGTATTTTTTTATGTTAGAATGAGAGTCTTCAATCAATATATAAAGATCTCACTTAATGATACCTCGAAAAATCCATTGTCCGCTATTTAACACATGATAACCGATTATCTACTATTGGTAATCGATTATGTAATTAATGAATGCACAACGGTAAAAAAAATGTCTAAAAACTCCTACGGCTAGTTGTGCTAATCGATTATGGTAAGTAATAATCGAAAATGAATTATCAATTATCATTAGTTGGTAATCGATTATTTCAGAGAAAAAATGAGTTTTTAGTTATCTTTAAAAACCTCTTTGTAATAATCGATTATCTTAAGTGTTAATCGATTATTGAGAGTTTTTCTAACTCCAAAACAAAATTTAAATCATATGATACATGTAAACAAGGATAAATAATAGTCTATAAATAAAACTATTAAATTACAAAAATTTTAACACAAAACAAGTCTTCATGAAGGTTTTCTTGCAACTTGACTACTTGAGACTTGACTTTCAGACATCATCAAAATTTCTAAGCTTCATCTTTATATTAATAATATAAAGATGGGTTTATTGTAAGACCTTTAAAAATCGAGTATTAGATGCGGTATTAAATAATGATACTCTATTATTTTATTTCAAAAATATCAATAATATAAATAAAATTTTTCAATAAGAAGCTTCATTATCTAAGAAGATTTATCTCTCTAAAACTTCGTCTTTAAAATTTCTTTTATTTTCTCTCTATAAATTCTAACTTCCTACTCATCTATCCAAAGATAGAGACCGCCTGAGAGTTCATTGAGGCAAGATCTTCATTTCTAGCCGATTCATTTCAACTATAGAGTAAGTTGATTTCTACCATTTCTCCTTAAATTTTTGTGTCCTTGTATGTAGGGGTTTTCTTCACTCTTTTGGGTTTTGAGTCTTCTCCAAGACTCTTTGTGGATTAGTGGTATTGAGGGTATACTTTGGTCAAATTGTCGTGAATTGTAGGAGCAAATAGAAATCTTGGAGCCTAGGAAGAATTTTAGAGTTCTTAGAACCATCAAAGCGTCAACCATGTAAGGAAAGTTAGTTTATTTGGTTTGAATTTTGTATGCATATGATATTTGATGTTTGTATGATGATTGATTTCTGAAATCTAATTAAATCGTGAAATTTGGTATGTTGAGTGATTGAATATGACGTTGTGTTGAATTGAAATTGAAAATTTATACATGTTGGTGTGTAATTGGTTTATCAATACAAAAGTTGTTTATTGTGAATTTGTGAATATAGATTTAGTAAAATTATCTAAAATATATTTATTATTTTTCATTATACAAAAATATATTAAAATAAAAGTAAAAATAAAAGATATAAAACATAAAACTATACCAAACTTAATATAAAAAAAATATAATTTATAAATATTTATTGATTCGGTTGTTTATCTAACTTACTAGTAAATGTAAAACTACAACAAAACTTATTTAAAACTGACTTATAGCAAACAAATATATTTTTATTTTAAATTTTAAATAAATATAAAATATTTTCCAAAATACCATGTCTTTGTTATTAAATCAACGCTATCAATTTAAGAATCCAAACGGAAACAATTAAATTAAAAATATTATTATACCTCATAATCAAATTTAAAATAAATACATAAAATAAAAAGCTGNCTGGAAAAAGGGTGCAGAAAACCAGCACCAACCTCCATTCTGCGTAAACAAGAGAGAACTTCAACTCAGATTGTAATCATGCTTTATCTTTCTCTTTTCCATTTTCCATTTATCCCACTTCCATTTAAACATTTGTATTGCTGTTAACAACAGAAATTGTTACATTGGCATTGATACAGAGAGGGTGAGACTATGTATCAACAGGATTACCGAGGGAAACACCAATTGGTTGCTACTGACAGAATGAAATTTTGCTTAGACGGTTCTCCAAAACGAAAGGTTACTTCTAAAGAGTCCAAGAGAGGAACATTTTCTCCATGCAGATGGGATTCTAATCAGGTATGTCATTCCATATTTCATGCGCAAGAGTTGCATGTCGCTCTTAAGCTTTAAATGGTTTAGGTGATGTAACCTTTACAACTTGCCTCTAGTAGATATACAAAATTAATCTGGTGGTGATCAACTTCGTTACGTGCATATTATTCTTTTTACCCCTTTTGAGTATCATATGTCTTAGCCAATTTGTATTTTAATGATTCCAATGAAAACTGATTCATCTGGTCTTAAACAGATCTGGGAACTGCACTCAAATGGGACCATGGTAAATAGTTACTCCGGTCTTTGTGCAACAGTAAAGTTTGTTGAAGGTGAAATTTTGTGGACACTCACCACTTTTTACAACTAATTTCATTTCCTCTCTTTCTTCCTTACCCCCCATTCCTTGTATTTGTCACTCATAAAGCAAATTGGTCACTCCTGCAGCTGAGGCTAATGCTGGTGGGATTCGCTCTTGGATTGCAACAGGAAGAAAAGGTTTCTACTTTCTAACAAACACTCTGGAGGATGTCAAGAATTTTCTTCTTTTCTGCAACTGCATAGCATCAAAATTGAAAAGAAAATGCTTATTTCTTTTAATCATGAGTACCATTTAAGAAGTTAAATAGCAAATTCTGATATAAACTGTTTTACAACTCTGAATGTTTTGTCTGTATTCAGGGGAAATCTACCTTGCTTTCTTCAATCTAAGCGATGAGAAAACCGAGATATATGCAAAGACATCATATCTGGGGAAGGTTCTTCCTGACAAAAGGATCGATTCATGCAAGGGGAAGGAAGTGTGGAGTGGAAAGAACGTAATCACAACACAGGGGACGATATCAATGGACGTGGAAATCCATGGATGTGCACTATTTGTTCTAAACTGCAACTAGTCCTTCTTCCAATTATTTAAAAACTGAAAAACAAAAAAGCACCTCATTGTTCAGTCTTTTTTCCACTCTATTTAGTTCTTGTTTCACTTGAAGTTAGGTAAAAGTTTGTGATAGACAAACTCTAAAACAACACATTTTAATTCTTTCTCTTGAAGCAAATTTTCTCTTTGTAACACTACTTAACTTTAGTTAATGAAAACAGCACTTTATGTGTTTAAGAACATTTTGCACGAACTAGCTCGAACAAAATAACAGAATTTCTCTAAATACTTGAGAAATTCTGAGATCTTTTTCCCTTTTTATTTGTTTTGTTTACTTACTATTTTACAACTAGTTTGGGGTTTTAATTTTTTCTTGGTTTTGTTTTTTAATTGTGTTAAGTTAAATAATATATACTTATTTTATTAAAAAAATAGCAGAAACATAAATATATATCAGTTTTGGCAACAAGGGAGTGCATAAACATAAATATATTCATCAACAACATAAGGTATAATATTAGTTATAATTGTTTATTAAGTGTATGGATATGAAGTAATAATATAATTTGTGTATATTTGTTATTTAAAGAAATCATATAAGCATTATTTGAATTCATGTTTGTTAATTTGAATTTTAAACATATGAATTAGTGTAAATAACAAATTAAGAAGATGTAATTGAAAGGCTAGTGTAAATAACAAATTAAGAAGATGCAATTGAATGGCTAGTGTAAATAACAAAAGGAATTAATTGATTTTTTATTGCAAATTGTGTTTTTAATAATTTTTTCTTCTAATTTAATTTTCACATTAATAAATTAGAACAATTGTAAATAAATTAGAACAATTGTAAAGAGAGTAAGGAATAGAGAAAATTGAACATTTTATATTGGTTTAGATACAAGAATCCTATGTCTAGTTGTTAATCTCAAATGAAGATTAACAATCCACATTGTTACAATCACAAAAAAATAACAAATTTAAGGTTCAGAACACTTTTCTTGTTACCTCAAGAGATGATACTCACTTCTCCTAAAAGTCACAAAGGATGAACACCTCCTTTAAATGTTTCACGAAGGATGACTACCTCCTTTGAATTTTCACAAAAGATGAACACCTCTTTTGAATCCTCACAAAGGATGACATGTTTCACTTAGCAACAACAACAACACTTAATCACAATTCTAGTAAAAGTTCTCGTTCTATGCCAACATTTAAGTTCTCAAAGTCTCAACACAAGGTTACTCAAACCCTATAACACACTTATCACAACATACAAGCAAACAAATAAGATTTTCGTATTTTTGTATGTTAGAATGAGAGTCTTCAATCAATATATAAAGATCTCACTTAATGATACCTCGAAAAATCCATTGTCCGCTATTTAACACATGATAACCGATTATCTACTATTGGTAATCGATTATGTAATTAATGAATGCACAACGGTAAAAAAAATGTCTAAAAACTCCTACGGCTAGTTGTGCTAATCGATTATGGTAAGTAATAATCGAAAATGAATTATCAATTATCATTAGTTGGTAATCGATTATTTCAGAGAAAAAATGAGTTTTTAGTTATCTTTAAAAACCTCTTTGTAATAATCGATTATCTTAAGTGTTAATCGATTATTGAGAGTTTTTCTAACTCCAAAACAAAATTTAAAACATATGATACATGTAAACAAGGATAAATAATAGTCTATAAATAAAACTATTAAATTACAAAAATTTTAACACAAAACAAGTCTTCATGAAGGTTTTCTTGCAACTTGACTACTTGAGACTTGACTTTCAGACATCATCAAAATTTCTAAGCTTCATCTTTATATTAATAATATAAAGATGGGTTTATTGTAAGACCATTAAAAATCGAGTATTAGATGCGGTATTAAATAATGATACTCTATTATTTTATTTCAAAAATATCAATAATATAAATAAAATTTTTCAATAAGAAGCTTCATTATCTAAGAAGATTTATCTCTCTAAAACTTCGTCTTTAAAATTTCTTTTATTTTCTCTCTATAAATTCTAACTTCCTACTCATCTATCCAAAGATAGAGACCGCCTGAGAGTTCATTGAGGCAAGATCTTCATTTCTAGCCGATTCATTTCAACTATAGAGTAAGTTGATTTCTACCATTTCTCCTTAAATTTTTGTGTCCTTGTATGTAGGGGTTTTCTTCACTCTTTTGGGTTTTGAGTCTTCTCCAAGACTCTTTGTGGATTAGTGGTATTGAGGGTATACTTTGGTCAAATTGTCGTGAATTGTAGGAGCAAATAGAAATCTTGGAGCCTAGGAAGAATTTTAGAGTTCTTAGAACCATCAAAGCGTCAACCAAGTAAGGAAAGTTAGTTTATTTGGTTTGAATTTTGTATGCATATGATATTTGATGTTTGTATGATGATTGATTTCTGAAATCTAATTAAATCGTGAAATTTGGTATGTTGAGTGATTGAATATGACGTTGTGTTGAATTGAAATTGAAAATTTATACATGTTGGTGTGTAATTGGTTTATCAATACAAAAGTTGTTTATTGTGAATTTGTGAATATAGATTTAGTAAAATTATCTAAAATATATTTATTATTTTTCATTATACAAAAATATATTAAAATAAAAGTAAAAATAAAAGATATAAAACATAAAACTATACCAAACTTAATATAAAAAAAATATAATTTATAAATATTTATTGATTCGGTTGTTTATCTAACTTACTAGTAAATGTAAAACTACAACAAAACTTATTTAAAACTGACTTATAGCAAACAAATATATTTTTATTTTAAATTTTAAATAAATATAAAATATTTTCCAAAATACCATGTCTTTGTTATTAAATCAACGCTATCAATTTAAGAATCCAAACGGAAACAATTAAATTAAAAATATTATTATACCTCATAATCAAATTTAAAATAAATACATAAAATAAAAAGCTGTTTATGGTTTTTCTTATTAGAGTAAAATTAAATGTTAGCTGTCTAAAAACAATATAAGAATATATAACCTCTTTCACATATTTTTTAGAAAAATGATTAATGGATACATTGATCAATACGTGAGATATATTGAAATAAATAACAAAAAAATTTGATATTTGATAAGATAGAAAGAGATGAAAAATAAATAAATACAATATGTGTATATAAAATAAATATGAATGTGTATCATTGTTTTTGTTTTCTCTTAAATAGAGAAAGCCCTTAATCTACCGATATTTCAAGCATATGATAAGTTCATTATCACTTTTTTACTCATGCTCAAATATTACCTCTACATCTTTTAAGTGATCAATATGTGTATATTGTGTTGATGCAGATCTATAAAAATAAAAATAAAAATAAAAGTCAAGATCAAGATCAAGGTAAGCAACATTTTAATATTAATCGTCATTTTTCAAATAAAAGTAATGTAAGCAAAGTAATGTTCAAATAATATATTCTGCAAATACAAATTTAATATTCTACCAAACCCAAATTCTCAAATTGTAAGTCTAACCAATTTAAAACCAATTAATTGTACTCATCACATAGCCACACAAAAAAAAAATCTTAAATTATTTTATTTCATAAAATAGTTAAATTTGAGAGTAATGTTAATTTTCTCTAAAACTTTAATGTTGTATTAGAATAAAAAGATTCACAACTTTTGAAGTATTTAAATAAAAGGTATGGATATGTGAGTAAATTTGGTTAGTTTTGGATGTATTAACATAATACAAAAGGAGGTTGCTCCCTCCACCACCACATAACGCTACTTGCACCACTCCATTCCAGTTTTACCCCTCACCCCTTTAGTAAATATTTTTTAACTTTTAATTACTTTTCATTAATATTTACACCCGTCCCCACCACTAGATAGACTCTACACCCCCACGTATTTGATGTTCGAGCTTAAACTCTCGGTTTCTCTTCTCCTCCCTGCGTGTTTCTCTTCTCCTTGGTGTGTTTTGTTGAAGGTGGAAAGCTTGAGTGTTGGCGTGGTGCAGTGGTAGTTGTTGAAGGTGGTGGTGCATTGGTTGTTAAAGGTGGTTGAAGGTCGTTCAGCGGGATGATTAAGCAGAACAATGGAAACAGGTGCGAATAAATGAAACGGATGTCAATATCCGTAACTGTGTGCAACAAATATCAAGATGCGTGAACAAATATAGGGATCCGTTGAAGAGTGAATTGACGATGTGTTTCAGTGTTTTAATTATTAGTTATTTTTATACTTTTGTATTTATATTTTTTAGTTATTTTTATTAGTTTATATTCTTAATATTGTGCAATGGATGTCAGCATGCGTGCGTTTGGGAATGAATGTGGTAAATCGGACGGACGTTGACATTCGTTAATGAAATGGTGTCTTTCTGCGTATGGCATAGCAATGGTGTCTTTCTATGAAAAATCTAAAATGGAAACTCCACTTTTTGGCTTCACTTTGTTCTTTTTGCTTGAGAGGTTAAAGGGAATGTTCCTTTTCACCAGTAATATACATGTCTAGTCCATTTCATTTCAAATTCAGTGTCTTTCTCCCATTTTTCACTTTCTTCTTCTGCACACCTACATTCATGAAAATTATTAAACATAATTTAACTCAGTGCTAAATTCTTAATATGAAAACAACAAATGTATCACATATCTCAAAATAAAATTTTGAAAAACGCATTATCGATACAAAATGAAATAATTCAAACAGAATAATTTTTTATTTGCTCAACACTTCTTAAAGAAAGAAAAATAAGAGATGACCTTTGTCCAAAGTTTCGAGAAAAGTTTCTTCTATCATTTCCCTCACACGTTTCGTTAACATCGTGTGAAAATAGTGAAGATAAGATAAAATAAATAAAAAAAATTAAATTAAATTTGCTTACAATTATATTTATATTTTGATGTGTTAAATTTGGTATGATATGATGAAAATTGTGAAGAAGAAGAAAGGGCACTGCAGTGATAGTTATGAATATAAGCGTAAGTGAGAATGAACAATGGATGCAACTTTTGGACTCCATTGTTAAGTAGACGACAGATATAAACATGTAAAAAGTATTAACTTTTTGTTCATTCACTCGAACCGTCGCACTGCCGCAAAAAAGTGAAAGGACATATTTAAGGTTTTAAAAATTTTAATGACGTTAAATAGTAAAACTTATATTTACTGTGAGGTATTTCTGGAATATAAAAAAAAGGGGAGGTGCAGGGGTAATACGTGGTGGTGGAGGGAGTAACTGGCAATACAAAATTAA